ACTGTAGCTCAAACTGCTCAAACAGTTAATGCTGGTTCTGATAGAAAGGTGCCAGAACACACAGTGCATCACAGTTTGTTGCTTATGGAACTGCACATCATTCTGACCACCATGAGGCCCAGGTGGGCATAATGTTATGGCTGATCGGTGTATATTCATAGGTATGTTTTCATTAGTGTGTAATAACCTGAATAAAGGAATCTTTGTGTTATTGTTACCTTTAAATGAGCTGTTTTTATCCACAGATGCCGCAGGTCACCTTCCATGGAGTCTTCCACGTTGAACCGCCATGTTACAGTAGCCCAGAACAGACAAACCAAACACTGGCTGTAGACACAGCTGACACCATAGTTACTTCACAGTCTATTCCCATTACCAGGTCATCAAAAACAGATGCCAGTGGTGTTCAGTTAGTTACAATTTTAAACTACACCACTAGATGTCACTAAATCCTACACATTGATCCTTAAACAGATGTTTAGGATATTATTGTGACAACCATTCAGCTTTTATGAATTGTTTTTGGTCAGCTCCAGCTAAAAACAGTTGTATTTAAAAATATGTTCAATATCCAAATTCAAATGGTATTAAAACTATGCGATAAAAAAACTCATCATTGTAAGTATGACGTCTTTTATTTTGTCCCTTTTTACCGTGTATATGTGATGTATATCTGTCTGCTTTTTGTGTGAATACCATTCTGTGTAGCTGCAACATGTGTGTGAGTGTGTGAACTACACACAGTGCCAGCATGTGTACACAGCAGGTCTCATTTCCTGATTCTCCGGTCAGATGCTGGTTTCTCTTTTGAGAGCCGAGCCCACAATGACATCAGCTTCCGCCAACACACCAGCCGTCACCATGGCACCACACAAAGACATTTCTGGCCCAGAGGGAGGGGGAGCATCATGCCTGACACATTTATAGGAGAGGTCTATGCTCCCCTCTTCTCTCATACCCTCCTCCCCCACCTTCGTCTTCTTTTTCTCGATCGGTGTTTGTACAGCCGTCTGCTCTGTTTACCAGATCATCAAAGAGCTTCTCAGACTTCCATGGCGGCAGTACCCTGGGCCTGGCCTGCTCTCTCTATCTGTTTTAGCCTCACAGCCTCTCTCTACTCTTCCGTTGGCTTTTTCTACTAGTGGCTACTCCTATCCATTAAGTTCATTTGAAATCTTTTTCTCTCAGCCTTCTATTTTAGACTTTCTTCCTCCCTCCCCCTCTTTTCGGTCTCTCTCTTCTTGTCAAATGGAGCCATGACTCCAAGGGCAAAATGCCGAATGAAGAAGTGACCACCCACTGGGCTTTGTCTAACTCTTTGCCCCAACGGACAGAAGGCCTGTGTGTGTGTATGTGTGTGTGTGTATGTGTGTGTGTGTGTGAATTACACATAGAGGGAGAAACAGATGGGACAGTGTGGTAAGTAGGGGAGAACCCCAAAGCAATATCAAAATGAACAACTTAGAAAATACCTGTTTGAAAAATATCAAAAGGTCACACCCTATCTGGGTCAATATGGAGGGCGTTGAGTAACTGAGTAAAATCTTTTCAAAAGGGCAAGTTAATTTTGGTTTAATTTAATGTGGTTTAGTTTTAAAGGGTTTAGGCCAGAACCAATATTTATTTTTTTATTATTATGTCACCACTTCTACATTTTAAGGCTATGACTAAATTATGCTTATTTCTTCATTAATCATCTAAATATTAACTATAGCCATGTGTAGCCTTTTAGCTTTGCTTTAAGCTAGTAGCATTATCAAAGAATGAGTTGATCTGTGTGTTTTATCAACAAATGTTGAAAAATATTGAAGTGGGGGAGGATGTCCCTTGGGCATTTTGCTCCAAACCTCTAGAGGGCATCTGGCCCCAGATGTAAATGTTTCACATTTGCATAATTGTCAAAAAAAAAAAAAAAAAACAATTTCAGATTTTGCTCCAAATTGTTCATAACACAGATTAGTACAAGCCAGTGATTTCAAAATCTGTTGCTGTACTAATTCAAAAACAAAAGCAAAAACAAGTAAGCTTAACAAGTACAAATAGAAGTCTCTTCTAAGTCTAGGCAACAGTCAACTTAACTAAGCTTTATTAGCCAACAGCTGAGTAAAAAACAAACATCTGTAAAAATCCCTAATAGCAGATAGCAGCCTTTCATTAATTTGTGTTTGTGTAAAGTGTATTGTATACTAGAGACTGGTGATATGTTTGAGATCAATGTTAACTTTTTGTTCTGTCAAATTTATGCTGTCATGTGAAATAATCAAACTGATTTTAAGTGCAGTTAACTGTGTCCTATTATGCTTTTCATCAGGTAAATGCAATGCAATTTGTAGCTTTTCAGAGTTTCATACAATAAAAACTTACTATAAAGACCACAATACAATTGCACTAAAAATGATTAAAGATCAAATTATCACCCAGTCCGACTATATATTTTACTTTGACTATTATGGAGGTTCATTAGGACACAACATAGTATATGTACGTGTGTATATATATATGTATACACAGAACGATCGGTCATGAAAATGTGTATAAAGTCAAGAAAAAGTTAATATATAGATAAAAGGTCATCTATAGGCCAAAATGTTCCCCAGGTGTAACTCCTCTGCCTCCGGCTTAACACGATATAAAGTAAAGAATCATCCATTGAGGATATTTCACTGTTTCCTTCAGGGTGCTCAGGTAATACAAATTCATTCAGCAGCAGCTGCTTTGAATGCGCAGACATCATCTGCCTGTTCAGTTTTGCCTCACTCTAAAAATAGGCACTTCTAACAGATTTCTTCTGTTCCTGCTCAACCTTACTGTAGCTCGATCTTTCTCTCCACTGCCTGGCAGGATGTTCTGCCACACTGACATCTTTCCTTCTTGTGGCCAATAAAGGAACAACAACCTCCACCCGGATTCCAGATGATGTCATCTCTTGTGCAACTGCCACTTTATTGCATCTTGAATTTTCAATCAAACATATAGTACATGTGAACTAGAATTAAATCACGGCATTCAGATGATCAATCAGACCGATGATGTTCAAATATCTAAAATATTAAAGCATACGAGAAGAACTGCTGCTGCTACAGGAGGAAAGACTATTGATCTAAACAGTAGAAGAACGATTTTACACATCTCCCACAAGTCAGACCTTGCCATGTGCTTGTGATCATTTGAAGAAAAAGCATTTGTTTCAGACAAGCATACAGTTTTTACAATATTGTGTGCTTGAAATGAGTATAATACAGCTGCAGCTATAAGGTGCATGTATGTATTCTTAAGAGCAAAGATCATGCCATCAACTCACAGTCCCCTTCATGTTCCCTCAGGCTGAACAAGTCAACACATTCAGCTGGTACAGAAGTGTCTACTTCAGACAAGATCACCATAACTCTGCCTTGTTGCACAGTTCGTTCCACAAAAGCGTACCTCCGGTCCAAAGTGAGGTGACGCACTTTAAGCCAGTTTAATGCCACCCAGGAAGGTGGAGTCTCCCTCCAGGGACACGTTGGCACTGGAGCGAGGGATCAGCAGCTCCACGTGGTCCCCGGCCTCCAGCTTCACAATACCTGAGGAAATGGAAATGTATACTTCAGACCTTCATTTTCCTTTTTTCTTGCCACACACCGCTATCACCCATACCCATCTACTAATATGCATATGCAGCCCTTCCACAGACACAAAACACAGGCTGGTTGACCTTCCATAACAGCTGTTATAAAAAGGGTGAACATAGCTGGACAATAACCAATAACACGGACTCACCTCCTGTGTAACAGGTGTTGAAAGGGGTGACGGGGTTCATATTCTGGACGCAGCGGAACAGGACCGGGTTGGGATACTCATTCCCCACCACGTTCCTCTTCCTCCGGATCACCACGTGACCCATTGCAAAGGTGCTGTCCATGTAGTAGACCTGAGCAGATAAACTGGGATAAATCTATGAGATACGGCGCAGGCATTTGTTTTAACAGTCAAGTGGGTGGTAAAGCATTTGCTACTTCATTTATAATGCATGCATCATTTGCATTTGCTCTTCTTTATTTGACCTTTCTTCAAGGTCTGTTAACCAAGTGCATGCCTACATTGAGCACACCCTTTTTTTTCGGCTTTGTATGTAGACGTGCTCCCCTCCTATGTGAAATCCGGTTATTGGTAAACAGACTAACAGCGCCCCCTTGCGAAAAAACTTTGAAACGACAGCAAACAGACCAACCTGACTGTACACAAAGTAGAAGCCCTCCTCTCTGACTAACATGGTGTCTCCGTCTACCTCCAGGGCAGTGCCTCTCCTCAGCCCAGACTGCCAGGGGATACCTGTGCACAGCTCTGATGAATATTCTGATTCAATAAATAAGAATATATTAGAAAACATGTCAAAGCACCTAAAGCTAAACATGCATCCCAACAGTGCTGTCCCCAAGTCTCTTTTGAATCAGTTACAGGAGTTGCTGGTTGGGGTTTCTATACATTTTAGTGTAAAATATATTTTCACTACTATAACGATGGGCATATTTAATGTAATGTTGCAAAATCCAAAGAAAAAATGAATATAAAATGGTGAAATGTAAATAATTAAAAATTAAAATCTATTTCAGAATCATAGCCCAGGCCAGAGATACTGTACCTTTGCTGAAGGTTTTCCTGCTACGGTTTGCCAACAACTGCAGGCAAGGTTGAGAAACTGTTGCAGAAGAAAGGAGAATGTTAGACATGTTACAACTGGTCAGTAGTTTCATAAGTTTCATTGCACATAGCTTATACCACAGCTTTCTTTCTTTTTTCCTTCTGCTCTTTGCCTTTGTCCTTTTAGGGTGAAAATCCACTGACTCACTCGGCAGAAGACTACTGTAATCATTGCAGCCTAGGGATTGTTAAATAGCTCGACCTGATAGCGAGCATATTCACAACATTAGTTAACTGTGCATCTTGTTTTTCATGTTACCACCAAAACTGGTGAGTGATTCACCCTTATTGCTCTGTTTTTAAAGTGGACAATGTGCTCGGAAAAAGGGTCTAAGGATAGAAGGTGTGTACGGATTGTAAAGAGAAATTTTGTGATTTTAAGCTATATAAATAAATTTGACTTGAAAATGGTGTAGGGGATATCATAATCTGTCACTCTATATAATACTCAGCCTTTCTGCAAGTGAACTGATGCATTTGTTTAACCACTGCAGGCAAACGTGAACTGAACTGTTGAACTCAGGTGCAGCCTGCCGTGTCTTACCTAATGTCTCTGTTCCAGATCTTTTCCTCCTCATTAGGGTGAAACCATGTTGAGACCCAGGTTGGTGAAGGGGCTCTTGGCTGCTTCTCCTGCTACTGATATTACCAGTCTGAACAGACACAATAAAGTCCTAAGAAAAACAATACAAGCTGGTAAAATGCTTGTTTCATGGGGTGTTTGCTGTTAACAGCTAGTAAGTAGTCTCTCACCTGGTCTCCATGCTTGGCCTCTCGTCCCTCTTCTCTCCTGCGACAGACCTCAGATTTGAGTCCCTCCACCTCAGCTCTGAGAGCCAACAGTTGGTACAGGGACAACGCTGAAAGAGAGGAGGAGGTGATAGCTGCTAGGGTCAGCAGGAAAACTGGCCAGGACAGCCTCCCTTCACCTGCCCTTTGTCCAGTCCCAGCTTCCACACCTGCCAAAACTGCCATCGTGGGAGCCAGGCAATGCCCAGAGAGCTCACAGCATGACTCGTCTCACGCCTCAACTATGCTGCTGACTTGTGCTGGGTGGGTGGATGTTTGCGTCTGTCATCAATGTTTTCTCTTCAGCTTTATCTTAATTCCTGTCTAAATGTGCTCCTGGTTTCTTTAACTCTCGCTTTTGTCCGTCCAGTAGCCAGTTCCAGTTCAGTCTGAGGGACTACGCAGAACAAATACAGTACAAAAAAGGGCAACACCGCTTCCTCTCTACTGTTCCGCTCAGCTAACCACACTCACAGCTTCCTGCCTGACCAGTGGCCCTGACAAATCTCTCTCCTTTTTCTCTTCATCTTCCTCCCTCAAAAATGATAAAAACACATCTCAGCTTTACCACATTCTAGCAAACAGCCTGCGCTGCAGAGCGGAAACAGAAAAAACAGCATTGGCAGTTAGATGAGGTGACAATGAAAATAGGGGAGAGGTGTCAGACTAAGAAGGAGAAATAGATATAATTAATGACATCAGTACATTTGAATTTGACAGCTAGAGGAGCCAACATGTACTGAAAGAAGGAAGTGCAAAAATTACAGCAACATAACAGCAAAACAAACAAACGTATTCCGAGAATGTAAAAAGTGAAGTGACATAAATTCAATTTGGAAGCAGTTACATTAAAAAATCTTGTTTATAACAACAAAATCAAACGAGAAAAGCAATTTTAATGTATCAATTTATTGCATGTTACAGTACAGAAAATAGAAAGTGAAAATGTGTGCTTACAAAAGAAGTTGTCAACATTTGTTTGAAATAGAAAAGAAACATTATTCTAAATGGAAAATCCCTCAAACTGACTGCTTCATACTAAAGATAAAGATGAATAATTCAGACATCTGACTGTTCAGATATCCCATCAGTGTTTCTTCAACGTGGAGTCACTGCAAGTCACAGTAGATGTACACAAATCATTTCAACACTGTGCAGGTTCATTACAGTAATCACATGCCAGCTTGCAAATGCAAATTCCAAAATTATGCCAACACCTTCATCAGCATTCATCCCACCCTATTCACAATCATATGGACACATATAATATGTCCCATAGTGCATGTGCACAATACCTGGCAAATGATTTTCTTCATAGAAAAAAAAAGAACAGACATTCAATTGTATTCCACTTCTTTATCATCAACAGTAATAACAGCTTGGATTAAAAAGCCAGTATTCTAGTTATTAATTTTAGGCCAGCCACCAAAACAATAAAATCACATGAATGATGAGAAGTTTCTACATGTCATTTTTTGAATGAAGAGATGGCGCAGAAGTATAGCAGAAGTGTGTAAAACAAAGCATATTGAACTAAATGAGTGTATAGTCACATGGTTTAATTGTACAATGTGCTCTACCAACATATGATAGGATAAAAACCATATAATTGAATTCATCCAACTCAGCTTATGGATTTGATATAATACAAAAATGTCAGAAACTGTTCTGTGCCACTGGTGGCAAAAAGTCACACAAAAGGGAGAAAAGACTATTTCTACATTAGTTCTTATAAAGCACACTTGTTAACTTACAACCACAATTTACATTCATAGAAGCCTCTAGACCGTTTTTCAAGTTGTTATCACATGACACAAACAAATTTGGTCTTCTGATGTTTGTTAAATTTTGTTTATCATACTGTTTACAAACAGTATCAAATATGGCTAAGGAGATCTGTATTCAAATGGCTTTGATACCACTGCAGTGCAGCATGCTGCATTTGGAAAGCAAGAGCAGATAACAGTGTTGTCAAGCTCTGCTCCACCCCCTGGAAGACATGCAGGAAAGGTTAATCAGCTCATTAAAAGCCCTCCAAGTGAGTAAAGCCATCTTGCCACATAAGCATGGGGTGAGACGAGAACCGAGAATTAACAATTGTGACGCTGATGATGATAGCTTACAAATAACCACAACATTTGATTACAAATGCTCACACTTTATTTTTGGTTCTTAAAGGACAGGTTTGTCTTTCTTAATACCATACTGTTCTCACAGGCCCATATTAAAGGTATGTAGAGAGAGTCATTGCTGTAATAATTCCTCCTGTCTGTACTGGCCATTAAGAAATGGTGTGAGTCTTTTTCACACTAAATGTCTCTTGTGGAATTTGTTGATGTGAGTGGAGGATTAGTAAGGTAAAAAGGAAATGTTCTAAATATTTGGAAAATACCTTACATTTGATTCGCTTGAAGTCATACTGCTCAAACTCAAATTAGTTTCTGCTCAACTTTGGAATACATTTTTACATAAAGAGACCCCAGTGTATTTTGTCCCTCAGCTCTTCCCCTGGATTTACATTACAAACGCATCTCTTCACAGTCAGTAAGGACAGGAGCATTACAGACACCAATAACTCTTGCACTGTACATATGGGCATGCATTATAGTGCTGGACTAAGACTTGAAGAAATCTGAATCTGATCCCCTAATAACAAACCACACACAGAGCAAATGCTGCTTACCAAACTACAGGCGCACATTTTCTCAACAGCAACTTGAGCTCATTTAAGAGGAAAGCTTATGCTGTGTGCTAGCTGTGTTTGAACAGAGCACAGCAACAGCGGCGTATCCCAGTCGCACTGAAACAGAAGTAGTTTGACAGGAAATAAGAACTTATTTTTGATAGGCGGAAGTAAAACATTTTATCTCAGCCAACACTTTTTGTGGCTGAATATAATTAATTAATTAAACGAATAGTTTTTTTATGCTATTGTGCCAGACAAACTTTTTCAAGGGTATATATAAATACTGATCACTACAATGTCATTTCATGCCAAGCTGCTGCAAGGAGTCTAACTATTAATGTTCCTGACCAAAACGGGAGAGAAACACAAAAGACTAAAGCAAAACATCCTTATGCCACTCAAAGTATTGCTCAGAAGATGTTAGCCTACATAACTCAACACTTGGGTAAGTAACAAAAAAAGTGCAATGGATTAACTAAGATGTGTGTCTATATATATATATATATATATATAGACACACACACACACACACAATATAGGCCTACATATTATCTGTGTCTCATTTTGTTTATTAGTAGAAGTGTAATTTTAATTCCAGTAGTCATCAGTTTCACTGAAATATTGTCGGTCCTAATATGGTCATTATACGATTGATGAAAGATTGTTTCAGTGATTTTAATTCATTTCAGTAGACCCACTCCAGCAAATTCTTTTGTGGTTGTGACATGTCTTGCAGTGTGGGCATGTATGCTCTGGCTTCATTCATGAAAAGGTCATAAATACATGCATTCATAGCTGCAACACAAAAAGAAACCACGAGGGCTTTGTTACCCTCTCTCAAATCCTTGAAATAGTTAAATCATCTTAACAAATGTTACATTTACAGAAAGGTAAAAAGAGTGAAATAAAGTAGGAACCCAGACAAAAGCATAAAAAAAAATTTACATTCTTTCCAAAGGTCCATCCCGTCAATTTCCGTGACAGCCTTCACTTCCTCCAGCCATTAACCTGTGATCAACAGTCTTTTTTTATTTTTATTTTTCAGATAATGGTGACACTAGCTGAGGGCTGAGCGCTCTCCTCATGGGCGTGGCTCTTCAGCAGGTCTTTCATGAACTGCTCCAAAGCAGCGAAGTAGCCCTGACACTGCCACGTGTCGTTGTGTGTGCCCTCTGGAAAGATAGCCAGGCGTTTAGTCCGCGCAGGGGACAGCTCATACAGTTGTTTCATCATGACTGGCGGGATGAGCTGGTCCGACAGACCGGACACAAACAGTGAGGGCATGCGGCACAGCACCACCTGCCGATAGGACAGGAACTGATTCCTATAGCACCACAGGGGCAGCAGGCGCATGGGCAAGAAGGAGAAGAGTGTCGCTGCCATGTGGGGGATGCTGAGGAAGGTGTTTTCAACCATAATGGCTGCTACGCGGTGAGGGTTGACTGACGCCAAGCGCACGGCCACGGCGCCCCCCAGTGAGCGGCCAAATAGCACCACCTTTGTTTTATCCAGATCAGGACGGGTCATGACATAGTCCAGTGTGGCCTCGGCATCCAGGTACAGCCCGTCCTCACTGGGCTCCCCCTCACTCTTTCCGTAGCCGCGGTAGTCCACCAGCACCACGTTGGCTTTCAGATTGACCAGCATCAGCAGAGCGTTTGGCACCCTGTGACCAATGTTACCAGCATTGCCGTGGAAATAAAGGATGGTAGGCGGAGCAGAGGATGCGGGGCTGCTTTGGTTGCCAGGGGCGACTCCTGGAGGCGTGTCCCCTCCCGTGTAGCGAAGCAGGATGAGGTTAAGCTTCACACCGTCCTTGGTACGAATGTACACGTTCTCGTGTGGGATTCCTGTTGGCATGGGAACGTAGAGGCGAGAGGAGGAGGGCTGGTCGGGGAAGTAGAGGAGCACGTCCTGAAATTTGTAGAGGATGCCCGCTACAGAGGCGAGGATAAGAGCTAGGAGAAAGAATCCTCCGTACAGGTGGAAGGTGAGGATGAGGGCCAAAAGGGAGACTCGACAAGCACCCCAGGACCAGGACGCCACCGTCAGGGTACAACGCTCCACTGCCCCCCACAGCCTCCACGGCTTCTCCATGGCTACACAAGAGCTGAGTCACACGACACACACTCTGTAAATACAGAGAGGGCAAAAAGACGAGAACAAGGGAGAGAAGGGAAAGTGGTTGAACATAAATGCACATGAGCAAGACGAGTTTTACAGTATCTATAAAGAAATGGTGTAACAAACACTCAAAATATGAAGAAATACATTAGATACAGAACATCTGTCCAGCATCAGTACCTATGATACGTTACCAGAGCTCAAAGTGATGGTTACAAACTGCTAAATGGATCTAACAATCTGAGTGTCCAATGATTCAATAACAGCAAAAACAACTGTTACGTGTCTGGTATTTTCAGGGGGAGTTAGCTCAGGAACAGTCTGCCATTTCTGTATGTTATATAAATTCTATTTAAGGAGTCACTGGCAGTACATTACATTACATTAGGTATATATGGACATGTAAGTGCTACAAGTACTTACTTTTATTACTTAACATTTTACATTTACATTCATTAAAGCTCGTTTAATACTTCTGAGTGCATATCTTTGGTAACACCAACAACATGTCTGCACATTCTTTTCACAGAGTCACTCAGAGACACTGAAAATGTTATAGATATCTAAACCGATGCAAGGTTAGTGGTTAGCGTGAGGCTAACTTCAGGAGTTGACAATAAAAGCATTAAATTAAGCGGTATAAATACATTTTATACTGAGGTCAAATATGTTCCTTTAAAGCCGACTGCCTTACACAAAGGCCCTTATACCCCTAACAACTATAAACTGATTAACACCCTCATAGCCAAAAAGTCATTTGTGCTACCCATTCTGTCACAGCTCACTGGGAACAGCTCAGTCCATTTCAATCCTGTGTCCGGAGAAAACAGCAGGGAACAGCCGCCTACTGGCAGCCACAAGAGGAACAGCCATCAGCCCCAACAATCACTTGTCTGTTGCGAGGGTCCTTAAAGACCCCAGCAGAGCATACTTTTCATCTTATCCTACTGGACTGAAACCATAGCTTGCCCAGTCCGGTGTGAAACAGACAGGTAGCCTACAGATGCAGTGGTGGGGCTCTCCAGCACCACAACCACAACGCCACTGAGGGGAATACGTTAAATCCGCGTACACTGCTGCTGGGACCAAACTGAGGATACACATATTACAAGACTGAACCGTGTCCTGACCCCACCCACAGGGGGGACATTGTGACAGCTGCTGTCAACCCGGTGGAAAGCACACAACTAACCCCGTCTAACACCGAGAGTACCGGTGACAGTTAGCGTTAGCCAGCTAACGATAAGCAGCGTTGAGGGTTTCCGGCTGCTAGCTGTCACCAGGTAATCTATTTGTGGACTGTCTAAACGAGCTGCCAACCCCAGAGACGGCGATGCACCACGCTTTGAAGGTGGCACACCATAAAATACGAATACCCGCGAGTTAACTTAGCTCCAAAAAACAGGCATGCTAACTATCAGGCTATCGTTTGCTGCCAGTGCTGCTAGTGCTGTTAGCAACGTAATAGCGTTTCCACTTAGCCGCCTAACGCTGTCTCCTCCACGGGTTGCAACTAGCCACATACTCACCCTCCTCTCATTGTAAGCGGCTCGGCGGTGTGGAATTAAAGACAGGAGCACCGTGGCAGCGCAGTCACTGTCACACAGCTGTGTGGTCAGCGGCTGACTCGTTAAATGAACAATGGGAGTGAAGTGTTGAGGACGCAAGGTGAGAAAGTGTCAGCACGAACCGGCGAGGCTAGCTACGAGGCTAGCCACACAGCTGGTTAGCATTTCTGGTGTAACCGTCGTGAGTTCCGTGTTGGAGTCAGCACAAGATGCAAGGTTCCGCGGTGAAAACAAACCTATCTTCTTCGACGTTTAAAGGGAAAGCTGGCAGTGTGGATTTACTGCCATCTTCTGGAGTTTATTTTTCTAACATTTCTTTATATATTATTAATATTTCTTTCTCCAACAAAGCATACTGAATTAAATTGAACTGCTTTCCTATTGTGTGAAGTGCACCGCACTCTATTTTGAATTGAATGTAAATATATTCTGCTTATTTCCTGAACCCAGAAGTTAGAACTGTTAAATGTCAATTGAATGTACTGCCATTATTTCAGATACTAAATCTTTAAACTGAGTTGCAATGTCTTACAGTGCAGAGATTACTGGGTGCACCTGGCTTTTATTTTCTTTTATCGATACAGTCTATTGGCAGAAGTGGAATATAATATGCATAGGTATGTTTTCATTAGTGTATAATCATCTCTATATAGATAGATAGATAGATAGATTATGTAACCTTAGAATGAGCTGTTTATATAAGGCGGCCATGTTAAACAGCCATATTTCTACAGTAGCCCAGAAGGGACAAACCAAACACTGGCTCTAGATGGGGGAGTTCATGTTTTGCGCACATTTTGTGGCCACCGCCGTTGTTTCTCCTTCAAGGAAGGTGAAGTGAGGGAGTTGAAATGCCACAAAATCTTATCTCATCCTATATATAACTTCAATACAATATTTTAAATGTTTCCTTCTCCATGATAATTGTCATTCAAAATATAAAATCCAATGTGTCTCAACCGTCTAAATTATTTCTGTAGTTTTGTTAAAAATGTTTGGTCCACACATGCAGGTCATGCAATGTGTTGAAATACTGAAACAGACAGAGAACCACTACCAATATCTCATGTGAATCATATAAAGTCGTGTCATACACAACACAACACACTGGGTATTAAAAATAGTGGTCTGATCTAAAGTTGAGCAATCACCATTGCATGTGCTATTTCATTTTTGCCCACCAGGTGCTGCTCTCAGAAAGAATATAATCAAGACAATTCACAAAGTGAAGGTTGATTGTATGTTAACAGAAAATGTATTTAAATTAAAGTCACTGGGGTGCTTCATGAATAATCAACAGCGCTATGTTATAATGTACAAACAGATAGGGAACTGTAGCTATTACTCATGCATGACATATAGCCAAAACAGGACTTTTTTTTTTCCTGTTGTGTTTTTGATGTTGATTTAGGCCTACAAGAATCAGCACTGACCTCTACAAAGCCCTGTTCCTGGAATAGAGGGTCTCAGAGGTAAAGACTGTTGTTATCCATCCATTTCCTAAATCATGATCCTCATATAAAGTATAAATTAGTTATGTCAGCCTGCTGCTGTGATCTCAACAGCAGGCTATAAAAAACATGCTTTTTAACTGTTGGTGGAGTCAGAGTTGACACATCTCAGCTTACAAAAGTGGGTGAAATTGTAGATGTGACAGCTGTAACACACTGGGCTGCTGACAGGTAGTACTGAGAGAAATGTCCTTGAATGAAATGTCCCTTGATGAAAGAACAGCAAAGGCAGAAAGCCTTGTGTCAACGTGCACACAACAATCATCTCAGGGCATCTGAGGTCAAAACAACGAACAAAGGTGGGATGAGTAAGGATTTGAGCCGACTGTGACTGTATGTGCTCGTACGGGTAATCACTTTATGATTATCTCTCAAACGAAACAGAAAATACAAACATCACATGCCGAATATAAAGCAAAAGGCTTGTTAAATACACATTAGAATATTATATGTTGATATTTTTCCTCTCTTCCGAGGTAGCTTATTGGTATTGCTGTATTTAACATCTTGCTCATACTCAGTGTGACCTTGGAGGAGACAGACAGATTATGTGTAGACTAGCACAGCTGTTGGCCGTTCAGCTCTGTCCTTGAAGTTCATTTGACTCTGTGGTGTCGAAGTCAGCATCAAAACCCTAGATGGAGCATGCCTCTATTCTGTTAGATAAAACAGGCTACCAAAATTAAGTCAGTATGAACCTAAAATATAATTGGCGTATGAAAACATTAATTATTGTTGGGGCAGAAGTGCTAACACTGGCTATAATTGAGAGGTTTGTTATGCACTACTTTGGAGGAGGTGATTGTTGATGTGATCACACGTATGAAATGATGGGACCATTGTATACTATGTGATAACTGCCCATGTAAAGTAGGTAGGTGGACAAATTGTTATCTTATCAGAAATGTGCAGATGATTTTATGGTTAGCATGCAGACAGTTTACCTGGGAAACTGTAGGATTTGATATTCATCTAAGCATTTTTGACACAGACACACATACACTTACACACACGGGGTAGCTTGAAGAAAGTTTTAAAGCGAATGGTGTTACAGCTAGTTTTTAAGAACTAGAGGTCCAGCTGTTGAGGTAATACACCAAAATCAAGGTGAGAGAGATTATGTTAGACTACAAGAAAGCTATAGATAAATTGGCAATCTACTAAATGTACTTGTTAGTTAGCTCAGGCTAACTACTTGACAAACACAACCAGACTGTTAGCCTAACTGTGTTTTGATGACTCTATGTAGATTTCATTATTATATATATACATATACTGATTTTATATAGTGATCAGTTAACCAAGTGAGTTATTAAATGTATGTTAATGCCTTTTGACTTGGCAGGACACCGTATTATTATGCAGACAATTCAAATGCAGACTACCTTAACTTCCAAAAAAAGTGTCAAAGGTCAAGAGATTTCTTTGTAGAAAACAAAAAAAAAAAGCCACATTTCCAGTATTCTGCAACAATTCATTAAAATGGACAACACAAAAACTAGGAGGTCATTTTTCTCAGTTTTCTTCTTTTGATATTGTAGGGCAGTGCAGATGTTGAGTCTTTTTAATGTTTTTTGTTGGTAAAACACTCACAGAACTCCATTTAATGTAAGAATCCATGTTCGAAAAAGGCCTTTAAAAGGAAAATTGTTTCTTTGAACTAAATTGGAGAAAACAGATTGACCTTAAGATTATGTACACGTTCCATTCATTATTTGGACTCTGTTGTAAAAAATAAATAAAGCAGAGAAAGCTACCACCATAACACTAAACATCATAGTGGACAGTGACTCGCGCAAAATGTAACTGACACCACACACACACACACACAACACACACACAACAACACACACACACACACTTGTCTCTTTAGGTTATAGAGAGTGCTGCATTCTGATGGATTCAGTTTATAAGAGACTGACAGCTGGCAAGTTCACTCTCCCCTATACGACTCAATTACCTTTGACATGTCAGTCAAAACATCTATTACATACACACACTCAAACTCTCATACACACTTATAGTGACACACTCTGTGTCTCTGCTCTCGTATTCCCACGACTCAATTACTTGATATATAACACTCCAAACAGCTGGAGGGCCGGAGCTCAATAATACAAAGTCAGAGCTGCAACAGGACAAGGAGTGACTGTGATGACCTGGCTGGGAATATCATATCATCAGGCCAAGGGACATACTTATAATTCACCTCATGGCATGCACCCAGTGGCCAAGCTATTGATACGCTATTGATTTTTCTGTCAGTCAGCATCTTTTATGACTGGCTGCTGTGACTTAATCCCTTCATGTGTAAGAGTTGCTACTATAGCATTTTTGCTGGGTTTGTGAAAGATGTCGTTGAGCTCGTCGGACATCATCAAGAGTGGTGCCTCTTTGATTTGCAAGTCACTGAATGCCATGCACAAGGTGATAGATGTGGTGTCCATGGCTACAATGTAAATGTGTTGTCACCTTGGAGACAGCATTGCTTTGAGTCAGAGAGGGACAGCTACATAATGGCAACTCTTCATTTTAAACACATTGCAGAGGAGGGGGTCAATACAGCCACAAGTTACCTGTCAGCGCAGCACAACATTACACTGGCTTTTTTTGCTTGCAAGCTAATTTATAATTAACAAGGTGAGAGCTGCTGTAGCTCCTATGGCTCTATTTTAGTGCCAATCAACATGGTTTAATGAGATTGTACATTGTACAGTGATGGCCTAATCAGCTAAGTGAGATAGGCAGGCCTACCTTGCATCGTGGACGTGCAGCAAAGAGTACCCCATACCCTATGCCTGCCAGGAATAAATTGGGTGGAAACTGCTGTATGTCTCAGGCAGCAATTAGGAGGCCTCCTGTGGGGAAGAAGCAGATGTTTAATAAAGGCTACATTTCCTTTGCAAATAAACCTCCTGTCACACCTATGATGATATCTGTCACTCTAATTAACCTGCAGATATACTGTAGGTTTGTGCGAACATGTGTCTATGTGGGTGCGTACTGTGTGAATTTGGGACCTGTCTTGTTAAAGTGCAGGGAGTGGTAAAGGGTTAGGTTAAAGAAAGAGCCAAAGCCACTGAGTGAGTTAATAAACAGCAACACAGAGGGTAATTATATGTTGACTGGACATGGTTTCTGTGCATTGGATTTGAAGGTGCTGGGTTTTGTGTAATGATGAACTAAACCACGTAGGACTTGTAGCCACTTCTGATCATATTCCTTGCTATGTTTGATATACTCACCATGATAAGCAGGACATTAATGAAGAGTGGTCACCATTTTCCCTAAAATGCTCCTGTCATATCTGCAGCATCTTTAGAGTGTGAATGATCTTATCTAAGCAATCATTAATCTCCCGGTCTTTGCCCAACCTCCTCTGATGGTGGAGATAGATAATTAGCACATTTGGCCATTGTGCCAAAAATAAAGATGAAAAGATGACTTCCCAAGAAGGCTTTCTTTGGCTCTTCAGAGACTTGAACAACCTCCACAGTGGTAACATCACTTGCCAGAGCTGCTAAATCAAATTGTTTATTAATGCAGTCCGTCTAAAAATGCCAGTGTTTGACTTTGACAATCTTTGTTTTTGATCTTGCTGTCACATAGTTACGGTTATTTTCTTTCTTGCTGAGAATGAGTAATTTGCTTTCTTGGTAGGAATTAAATGAGAAGATCGATACAACTCCCATTATTGCGCATTAAGTATGAAGCTAAAGCCAGGTGGCCAT